TATTAATTTCAATTACTTTTTGTAAATAAATGTAAATTAATCAATTTAGTCCTTTTTATTAATTAGGTTAACTTTGACTTCTTTTTTTTACAAATATAAAATAAATTTAGAACTAGGGTTTTCTTGACTTTTAATTTCTTTTTATTTTTATTTTCATTAAAAACATAAAAAATACTTTTCTTCTTTTAATTAATTAATTAATTAGTTATTAGGTTTAATATTTAATTAATTGCAAAAAGGCCAAATTCAATTCTTTTCTCAAAAAGGGTCAAAACCCTAAGGACGTTCCGATTCAATTCTTTCGCTGCATATTTATTTTAATTATTATTTTTGATTATATTTATGTATTTGTTCAGAGGATGTAATAGATAATTAGGACTTTTAACGCTTTCTTTATTCTCTCGCAATTTATCTTTTCAAGGGTTATGTTTTTGGCGATGTAAATACCCGACGCCTTGTAATAGCGTAGATTCACTTTCCACAATTTATTTTCCGCACAATTATTAACTGTTAGTTATGCATGACAAGATTTGCCTAAAAAATAAAATCAACCCGTAGCTCACAATGATGCCTGTTCAAAGATAATATAACATGAAACTGGACACACGTGCACATGCCACTCTTAGGGTACGCCTCACTTGGTTGCCTTGAGGTGGTCATCAAGTATAGGGTGTTTTAGAGGTCGCCCTCCTGTCTAAAGATCCAGTTGCCTCGAAACGGTTGCCTCGGATAAAAAAGGATCTAGGACGTTAGGGTTACCGCTAAGGCTTCCTACTATTGCTTTGGTGACCACACATGTCCCTAATAATCGAATTGACCCGAATAACTCCAACGACGGTGCTACCTACTTCTCAATAGTGGGATAGTACTGTCTAAAGGACTCTTACACAACTTAATTCCTTAGAGTAGGTAGACTTCTCCTGGGTACTTGCTCTTTCAAAAAACAAACAACAACTTTTCGCACTCACACTTTCAAAAAGTTTTCAAACAAATACTTCATACACTCTTGAGGACTGATACAAGAGTTACCTAGAAGTTTTTCAAACTAAACATTTTCAACCCACATACACAAGAAACGCAAACAATTTTTGAAAACATAGTGAGCAAGTACCTAAGAGCCCGTGGATAACCATGGATAGAAAGGGTGATAATACCTTCCCTTTCTATAAATCTACCTCCTGAACCGAGAAACGTCTCGAAAAGGAATTTTGCTGTGCTTTTGTCCTTTCCATGTTGGAGAACATAAAAGACGGTGGCGACTCTTGCTTACCGCGACATTTCGCGAACCAACGTTAAAACAGTCAGTTCTATTTCCACCGATCACACATACCATGTTCCCTTAGGACGCGCTTGCTCCGTTCGGACGCGAGTTAGACCTTAGGTTGCAAACCATGCATGCTAACTGAGATAGGATCCCTTATTGTATGATAATGTTAGGTTAGAGATAAGTTAGTCTCCCTTAGATGTTTTCTTCCCCTTTTTTCATCATTGTATTTAAAACTAAAACTTATTTTTCTTGGCAAATGTATAAAAAATGTTGAGCGTACAAAAATTCTTTTCATGGTAAAAAATACCAACCAATCTGTTGTACCCCAAAATTTGCCCTCTCATTTTATCAAGATTTTTCCTCACAAGATTTCTTGGACTCCAGACAGGATTAGGGTTTGCTCAGCTCAAGACCTCACCTTGCACTGATAGCCTGAAATTAGGGTTTGAGTTGGCACAAGGATTTTTGGACCATCAATGCTTCATGTGACTTTCATACACCATCTTGGACCCCTAAGATTGCTCATACCAAGTTTCAATTGGACAGTTGACCTAAAAATCAATTGTATTGGGGAAAAAGTCAACCATGGCCAATTTACAGTCAAACTTCATAATTTTTGATCCACAATAACATTTTAGGCTCATATGTACCATTTGATCAATTTTGGATCACAACTCCTCAAGAAATTTGATCAGATCATCAAAAGGGCAAAATGGTCAAAATTAGGGTTTTGACTGTAGAAGGGAAATTTCTGATTTTTGATCTGGCCAGTGACCAATTGGGTTCAAACATGGTTTCAAGGATCCAATGGCATCATCTTGACCTAATCACATGGTTCAAAAGATCTCAAATGCATATGATTGACAGATAAATTTTCCAGTCAACTGATCAAAAATCAATTGTACACTGAAAAGTCAAACTTTGACTTTTTGGTCAAAATCAAATGCCAAGGGTCATAATTCATCAAAACATGTCAAAATATGAAACTTGTTGACCAAGAAACCTAAAAATTTCAAATTAGGGTTTTAATTTGAAATTTTTCATAACTTAGAATTTTTCTAAGTTATGGAAATTTCTTATTTTTTTCCAACTTTCCACAACTTTTTTACCATGATGCAATTGGACTCAAAGAAAACTTACAACATGAAAGTTGTAGTCCTCCATGAAAACTACAACTTTTATTCTCAAAGTTTTCCCAAAAGATGCTTGGATATCAAGTTATGATTTTGTAAATAGGGGTCCATAAACTTTTTAACTTAGTGAAATTTTGCCCTAGTTTAGGCAGATTTTTGACCTAACTTCATGGCTACTTTTCACCTAGTTCCAAGAGGAATATCAAAATACATTTCAAATATGGATTGTGGAGCATGTTACAAGATTTCCAAAATGTCACAGAACTCTCCAAGATCATTTATGGTTAGGGAGAATCGAAGAAAGGAAAATGGCAATTTATCACTTTTGTTCAAGGCATTTTCACAATGGTTCAAGTTGCAAATCTGTCCTAGCATGCTTGTACTTGGCATTACAAGTCCTAATCCTTTCTACACTCCATAATCGAATGCTAATTCAGTGGACAATGACTTTATTTTGATCTTTGGAGCATTGTACAATGAATTAATCCATTTATGGCATAAAGTTCATAATACTACTTTCATAAAGCTAGTTTTTTACAACTTTGCAAATCTTGAGCCATGGACCTGATCTTTTGTTGCAAACAAGATCCACAAACATCAGGAAAAGTACACAAACCCTATGCAGCTAACAAGCAAGCCTATACAGGCCTTTGGCATTGGTCATGTCAACTTTCTTCAAAAGCAAGAAAACTTGCAAAAGTCAATACAACTGGTCCATCTGATAAAGGCAAGCCTTAGCATCATTTGAAACAACTTCAGAACCTTGTAACAAGCCAATACACGAGTTGCTAACATCCAAAACACTCTCAAACACCAAAACCACACTTTTCTGCCCAAACATGGCATCATCTGCAGAACCTTTGCCAATTTGAAATTTGCTCGTGCGTTTTGCTTTGTAACACTTCAAACATCTTCCCTACATCACATCTAAACTATCCAGGCCCTTGCCTTGTAACTGTGTGCCCTGTTTCAAGCTTCACCATTTCCATTTTTGAAAGTTGCAGGTTGACTTCTATAGGAAGATTCAAACATCTACAAGGCAAGCTGAGCATTGGAGAAGCTTGAGGGAACTTCAAGGAAGCTCACACGATCTTTAGGCCTCACTCAAAGCCCTCATATTGCCATATCCAAACTCAACTGAACAAGGTATTTTTCAAGTTTCTATCTCTCTATTTAGGCATCTTTAGGTCACGATTTGTGAAGCAAAAATGTAGTCCTTAACTTGCTTAAGTTGTACATATGCATAGTTTTTATTTATATTAACTGAGTAGTGAGAATTTGAAGCTTGAAGTTCATGAAAATTTTAGGTCAGAAATTAGGGGTGATAAAATTCTCCTTGATCTTTGAGTGTTAGGTCACAAACTTTATATCACTGGAATCGTGAGATCATGAGCTACATTTTTCATGTTATAAGTTTTTTATTTTATGCAAAGAATAGCAAGAACATGATTTGAAGGCAGAACGCGCGCGTTTGGTGTTGTCTGGAGGTCAGGGATGAAGCTGGTTGGGCCTGGCGCCTTGGGCTTGCTACTTTTCACATCCCCCATTTTACTTCTGCATCCCCTTTGCATATTTTTATATTTTTTGTATTTTCTTGCATATTTTATATTTTTGACTTTATTATTTTTTTCTGAACATTAAAAAATCCCAAAAATATTTTCTTAATTTTTTGCATTTTTGTTTTATTTTTTTATCTTATTTTTTGCATATAAAATAGTTTTTATTTTAATAAGTAGTAATCATTTTCTTAAAATAATTTGTAAATAATAAAAATACAATACATTTTTATTTTGATTATTTCATACATTAAATATTTATTTTTCATACATATTTAATTTGTTTAAATAATTGTACATAATATTATTATTATTTTTCTTGAACAAAAATGGATAAAATGAATAATATAAAACATATTTTCTTTTAAAAACAAAATTAGGGTTTCCCCTTTCAAAAATAATAATATTATTTTTTTCTTATTTTTAGAACTTAAATAATTTATTTTTTACATGCATAAAACAAATACAAAAACATTTTTGCATACATACATTTAATTGCATAAATACATATTATTGCATATTTGAATAATTGTTTATTTATTTATTGTACAATAAATTCAATTGGGTTGTAATAGTGAATTAGGGTTTTATTTTATGCAAATATTCCCATTTAAAACTTGTATCCCCCCTCCCATAATATTGTTGTAATAGCTTAGATTTACTTTACGCAATTTATCGCACTATATGCATGTTTAGTAAATTAGGGTTTGTATGATAAGACAAAAATCAAAACAAATAGTTTGACCTAATACAAGAAAAAATGCATGAAAAAGGACAACACCTTGCACACAAGCACCTCTAGGGTTTCACCCACTTGGTTGCCTAAACAAAATGGCCATGGTATGCATACTAGGTATCTTGGCAAAACAAAACAAAACAAAAAGATCATAGTCCCTCGATGACGCTAGACAAGGTTGCCTAAAAAACAAAATGATCTTGGTCCCTCAAACAAGTTAAGATGCTTGGCACCATTTCTATCATGGTCATACGATGACCCATGCCCGTCCCGTTTAACATACAAAGATAGGGTTGTTTACCAAAGCAATGGTAAATCAACAATGTCAAAGGAATAAAAATGTACAAGAAAGACTTTTGATTAGGTAGATGCTCCTAGTTACTTGATCAATTTGCAAATAATCCTTGCTATTTTCAAAAACATACACACAATTTCAAAACATTTCCAAACAACTTTCAAAACATTAAAACATTTTTCAAAAGACAAACATCTTTGTATACATTCTTACGAACAAGAATCATTACAAAGATTGCCAAAACGATGGCCTCTTTTTAAAATACTTTCAAAACTATACAAAGCACCATTTTAAACAATTGGAAAAACAAAGCAAGTGATCTAAACAAGTAACTAAGAGCCCATGGAAAACCATGGATGAAAAGGGTGCTAGCACCTTCCCTTTTCATAATCTACCCCCCGAACTCAAAAACAATCTCAAAGGTCTTTCCTGTGCTTTTTTTACCTTTCCTTTTGGATAAAATAAAAGTCGGTGGCGACTCTTGCTAAACTGAAACATTTTGCGAACACAAACGCAAAACCTCAAGTCAGTTCTCCCACCGTATCATACAATCCATTTCTTTTCGCCATTCGACTTTTCTCTTCTAAGAGCATATTAGCTCCTTTCCACTATAGGTCATAAGTCTCCAAAGGTCGAGCAGCGGTGGAATGATCGAATGCAACATTGTCCATTAAAAAATACAAACAAACAAAATAAATGAGCCGAACTACGGTAGCTCTGATTCCTCAAAATGGATACGTAGGCATTGGGATAGGGCCCAAGCGAGTACAACTTTATTTTCCCTACATTCTTTCTCCTTTCTTTGCATGCATTCCCTCTTAATTTATAACCCTTAAGCATTAGATTGAACACACCCTTTGATTAGAATAACGAGAGTGGATCCAATAGAGTACTATGGACGTGTGGGGTGCTAATACCTTCCCCTCGCATAATCGACTCCCTTACCCAATCTCTCAGTCGCAAGACATTGATTTCCCCTTTAGGTTTTCTTCTATGATTTTCCTTTCCCTTTCATATGTGATAAATAAATACTCGGTGGTGACTTCATTGATTTTACCGCTACACCAGCGAACCAACAAATCCATTGTATAATGTGATTTCAGGTATTTGGCGCTTTTAAAAATCTTCCTCACAAAATTAGCCTTCGACCTGAACAAATGAATTGAATAAGATCTCGAGACGGTTCTAATGACTGAAGAACCATTCCTAAACCATTTTCCATCTTTAAGTTATGATTTTTTGAGCTCGCACCGCAAAATATTGAGTTTTTGTCTACACTGTCTCAAATCAAATGAAATGCTCGACTTTCTATGCAATTCAAAGCATACCAAGATACATGATATATTGATATGATAACTTGATTAGTCCCTGATTGGATAGCTTGGATCATGTGCAGAGTGCATTAATAAATCGAAAATCTCGAATTCTGCTTCACAATGCTGCTTAACAGAACAATCGAATTTCACAACTCTTTCTTGCAGAGAAATGCCTTGATTCCATGAGTATAAACCTAATGACATGTATGTATGCATATGATGATGAAGTATAAGCCAATTAGGGTTAAAATGAAGAGGGTTAATTTTGGGGTGCAACAACGGTATTTCCCACTTCTTATGCATTACTTTGTAGGTATCACATTCCTAAGAATGTGAGAAGTCGTGTTAAACCCGCGGTAGGGACAAAACAGATATCAGGTCAAGATGGAATATTGGTCAAGGCAGGCGTTATTGTGGAGAAAATTATGGATGCATGGAATGTTATAATAAATGAATCTACAAAAGAGCTATATATTGATGATGTTATACATTTCAGGAAGGTGTGCATAAAATATCTCGATTTACTGAAATATGTCGAAAGCATAATTTTGGATCAGGTAAAGGAGAAGATTGTTTATGCTTAGACCGATTATGTTATGCCCCTTGGAAATACAATAACAAACCGAGTTGAGTCTGCTCATGCTTGTTTGAAGAATTGGTTGGGAAATAGCAAAGGTGATTTTTGTGCGAATTAGGAATCTATAAACCAAATGATACTAAACCAGCATAATGAGATACAGACATCATTTGGTCGTAGTATCACAGTGTTGGAACACAAGTTCAAAGATAACACTCTATATTCTCAGTTGGTCAACAATATATCTCGATTAGCTCTAAATTATATTTTTCACGAAGCCAAACGAGCTTCTAATGTAGATTCCGATAGCTCAAAGTGTGGTTCCACACTTGTGAAAAACATATGGTCTCCTATTTGTTTATGTCATATATAAAGAAGGTGAAACTTGATTGCCCAATACGAATGGACGACATCTGCAATCATTGGAAGAGGCTTAGTTTTGAAGATGACAATGTTATGAAAGACGATAAATCAAATATCTCCATCCTGACTGAATGGGAAGCAATACAAGAAAGATTTTTGAAAGCCGATGACAACACAAAACTCCACATCAAAGAGAAATTTAGGAAGAATATATTCCTAGAGGCCACATACTTGAAACCACTCTCTCAACCGGTAAAAATGAAAAGATCACTTAAGAATGTGAAACCTACAACAACGACAATTCAACAACGAGGAGTCCATCATATTTTAACGTGTTGACAAAATTTTTCCCGATTCACCGACTCTAAAATCTCATAAAAGTGCTTTCAAAGGAGCCAACATTAGCAAACCACCTCCTACACCGCCTCCACCCAAAATACCATTCATCGAGGAAATGTCGGTTTTTATGCACAATTACATTGAACAAATCGTCAGTGTCAGGGGTGACAGTAATTGTGGTTTTTAGGTTGTTTCTAGTTTGCTCGGTAAAAGGGAAGAGGATCACCAACTTGTCTATGATAGTCTTATCAGAGAGTTAAGGAGCAATAGAAAATTATGCACACGGGTGCTCGGGAATAAAGAGAAAGTTAAAGAAATTTATCACGCTCTTGTACCTTGCGTCAGTGGACATACACTAGAGGAAAAATGGATGCGCTTCCGTGAGATGGATCATCTCATAGCAAATGCGTATGAGAGAGTGTATATTAATATTACAAGATACAGTTTCTCAAAAACTTTTTCTCATTGTGCACTGCTCCACCACCAAATCCCAATGATCATATCATCTATATTGGACGGGTTTCAAATCTGCGACATTTTCTTCAAGTGTATTTGAAACCGCGATGCCCTATACCACTTACATCACCAGAGTGAGCAAATCATTTTACAATCCAATATGATACTTGGCTGGACCAATTTATTGAAAGGTACCACCTATAGATTTGGAAAGCGACAATTATTTCAGATCATTTAAGTAGTTATTTATCATTTTATTGTATATGACATTTTGTGAATGTATTATGCTGTGGAATATAAGCATTTTCTAGTTTGTTCAAAAATACCAGCGTTCAATATGATTAGTTGCTTCTGTTTTTTAATACCAGAGAAGTTTCTGGAGATGCATCTTCGAATACATAAGGGTGGTTCATGAGTTACATCTCAGGTACATCTCTGTCAACATATAGGGTTTGTGTGGTCCATAATATCACCCCTATTATAAATAAACTCACTTGTCATATTGTTTCATATCAAAACACAAAAAAGCAGAACGAACATCAAATGACATGTTGGAAATGTTCACTTTACCGATAATACACCATCTAGAGAATTTAAGATCAACGAGTACACCCCTCATGAAGATCTTCAATACATATTGCAAGAGCTCCTACCATATGGTGACAATCGGAAAATTATGAAGATCAAGTACCGCTCGCCATCGGTTGACAAAGAAGAGAAGCTTGAGTTCAACAACCATGAGTTGAAGACTGCCGCTAATTTAATGGCTATGTGGATAACCTTTTTCCGTTTAGAATCAAAAGTTTTGATCGAGTTGGATGCGACTATTTCGAGATCGGTCGATGATATTATCAAGATGTTGCAACGTCCACCTGGATGTTAAAGTTCAATGTTTGATCTATGTTAAAATCTCTCATGTATTACTTATTTTATGATATCAATGTTATTTTGATTTTGTGAAGTTGGTGTATTTCAATTATGTTTTTTTGCATTGTTTGATACCGAAAATAAAACTCCAAAAAAATTTATATTTTATTATATCTTGGTGCGTTCTGGAGATATATCTCCAAAATCCAAAGACATTTAAGTATTTTCGCTCGATGCTTTTTCAAAACCATAGAATGTATTAAGAAATTCTATAAAAAAAAACCCAAAAAAGACAAGCCCAATAGGCCCATCAAGAATTTGTACAGAAAAAACACATTTTGACAATGGAACCCTAAATCAACAAAACTCATCATCTCCGTCAAATTGGAGTCGCAGCGACTTTGTTGTCGGTGGCCAGAAACAGCGAGGAAGCTCTCCAGGTTTCTCTATCTTCATAAACTTCTTCTTGTTCTTCTTCTTTTTAAGTTTTTTTCTGATGCGACTTTGAGTTTTTGTTTTCGCATTTGGATTATTAGACTTCAGTATAGAAACAGTGTGTTCAAGATCCTTTTGGTGCTATTAGATGCTCTCATTATTTATCAGTAACTTGTTTTTGTTTCATATATTAATTTTAGGGTTTTTACAATGGAGGATACCCAAGAAATTGATGAGGTGCAAGAAGTGATTTCTGACAAAACATCTGAAAAGGAGGAAGAGACTCGTGATGAGGTTCTCGCACGCCACAGGTGACTCACTCTCTACAAAACTATCAGTATGAAATTTCTAGTTTCTCTCTGCGGAATCAAGCCTCATTTTCAAATCCTTCCTTTTCGTATTTATATTGAGACCCTCAACCCTAGAATACAAATACTAAGTTTTCGTCGAAATATATATAATGTGCTTCATGTATTTTTCATGTATTTTTCTGTTCTTCAGCGTATGTTTGGAGTTGTTGCCATGTGACAGGATTGAACTAAACAGAATTGAATAACTAGAGCAAAGAAAAATAGTGCTGTTTTATTGCACTTAAGTGAAATAATCCTTCAGGTATTCGAGAGACTTAAAACTATCCTTGTCCTCTCCCACAATACTTTCTATGCCTACTGCAATCCTCCTTTATCCTATTTATTATAGCGTACTCACCTTCCAACTTACGACTCAGATTAGTTATGGAATCGGCCTATTGCAAATGTAAAGACAGGGCTATCTTCAATAGACCCAATGGGTCTGACCCTTTCCTGGATCTCACCATGGTGGAATCTATATGTTGTTGCCATAAGTTGCCCTTTTTATTGTGTCTTTTTTAAAAAAAAATCTGTTTCTTTCTTAACACACCAAACTTTCTGAAACTTTCTTGTGTCACCTTCCTTAAAAAATAATGCATTAGCTTATGCAGTTAATAAATCCAGCTCTAAAGAGATGAAACCTATCTTTACTAAGTGGAGTCCAACTCTAATTTAGGGAACTCAGTCCTTTGATTCATCACTTTGTAAGTTTGTTGTAATTTTGGATCTTTTTCTATGCTGAATTGTCAATTGATTTTGAACTTGTAAGTAATTTTGGTGCCAAGTTGTAAATCTATTTTTTGTTTTGAGTTGGTGCGACCATTTTGAATTTTAATGATAGGTTTGGTATGGTGAACCCAACTCTTTTTAGATTATTGATTGCTTACAAAATATTTATCTTATGTAGTGTTTGGTTCAAAGGAGGGACTGGGAAATAACCTTCTCCTTGTTTGGTTCACAAGGAGAGTGAATTTTAAATTAAAACCATTTTCTCTTTATACACTTGTAACCTTTTAGAATTACATTTAATGTAAAAAAAATACTTTTGTAGTTTATTTATATAGTATTGAAACCCATTTTCTTTCTTGGCCAAATCTTCCGGCATTGGAGATGTGCCAAAGTTGAGTGAATAGAGATTTTGCTTTTATCTGTCCATCTCTCCCTCTTTATTTCCCTTCAACTTAAACTATGTTAATTGAATTTTTGGTCCCTTACTAAGTAAACTCTTACTTTGCGTGTTGAGTTTACATATTCCATGAACTTTTACATAGACTTTTAAATTTGACAATCATGTATGCTACTCAAGTCCCCTGGTTCTTATCGTTCTTACACAATGCATATGTGTCCACAATGACTTGTATTTTCAGGAAAGAGATATCACAATTGCAGAAAAAAGAAGTTGAAATGAAAAAGCAAGCAGCTAGAGGTAGCAAGGCTGAGCAAAAAACTAAGAAAAAGCAAGTGGAGGAAGAGGTTTCTCAACTTTCTACTAAGCTCAAAGAGAAACATACCAAAGAACTGTCTACATTAGGCTATAGCAGTGGTAATGGAAATGAAAAGAGCAATTTAGACAATTTGGTGAAGGCCATAGCTGGAGTAACTGTTAGTAGTCAACCTGAGAATACAAAGGTCAGCAAGGCAAAACAGAGGCGTGACAAAAGAGCTCAACAAGAAGCAGAGAGGGAACTGAGAATCCAAGCCGAGCAGAATGACATTATAAGTGATCGCATGGTTGAAAATGAGAAACTGGAAAGGAAGTTGAAACCTCTCGGTTTGACTGTGTGTGAAATAAAGCCTGATGGACATTGCCTTTACAGAGCTGTTGAAAATCAGTTGGGCCACCTCTCTGGGGGTAAATCTCCATATACATACGAAGAACTTCGAAAACTGGCAGCTGCTTACATGAGGAAGCATACATCGGATTTCCTTCCATTTTGCCTGTCAGAGAATTTAATCGAAGGTGACTCTGATGAATCAATTGCTCAGAAGTTTGAAAATTATTGCAAAGAAGTAGAATCCACAGCAATATGGGGAGGACAACTAGAGCTCGGTGCTTTGACTCACTGTCTGAAGAAGCATATTGTGATATTTTCAGGGTCCTTCCCTGATGTGGAGATGGGGAAGGAGTATAAACCGGTCGATGGTATTTGTTCGTCTAGTTCCAGTATCAAGCTTTCTTACCATAAGCATGCTTTTGGGCTTGGTGAGCATTATAATTCTGTGGTCTCAACATGATCAAATGAGTCATAAATATTCATAGGGATGCTTATTATATCCCTTCTATCATTTTGCTTTACAGTCAGGCATTTGGCTGAAGGTTACTTGAAACCTAAGTTGTGATTGAATGTACCTCTAGTTGTACATTTCTTAACTGTAATTGATAATTTATCCATAGTTATGTATCAAATGATCGTTTGACATCAATTGATTTTGGGCAATTTTAGCTACTCTTCATATTGATCTAAAGCTAAGGATTGAATGAATGTTGTCCTTGAAAAGGAATTATCACTTGATGTTTTCTGTATTATGACGGTCTTGAGAACTGCAGAAAAATTACTTGAAAATATCCAACTTTTTGGCTAGTTGATAAAGAAAGCACTAATAGTTGTTTTAGATGTAATACTCCTGCTTAATGCTAAAAAACTTAGTAGTCTAGTTAATTTGTTCATTTTGTATGAATTATTATTAAATTGCTTTGTGTATAAGTATTTTTAATATTGTTTTTTCATATTCTATGAAAAGTTAGTAATGCTTGTCTTTACTTCTAAAATTATTTTAAAAAATTTATTTGTTATATTTAAAATTCTTTATAACTTTTTAGATATTTATTATACATTTTTTCTCTAAATAAGTAACTTATTAATGCTACACTATGTTTTAAAAAAGATCCATTTGTAAATAAATTTTTTCACAAAACAAATTACTATTTTAAATCCAATTTGTAAGTAAACATTTTCTAAAAATAAATTACTACCTTTAATACTATTTGTAAAAGAAGGTTTTCTCAAAAATAATTTGATATAAATATAAAATAATAATTTAGATGGTTTATTAAAAAAAATCATTATTTAATTAATTAAATGTTGATTTAATTTAGATCAATTTCTTATTAAAAAACTAAGATGTGCCTCAAAAGCACAAGTTAGTAAATATTTGTAGAAATATTTTTTTAGAATCCGTACACGCATTCAATGTTTTAAAATTTTTAATATTAGTTTATTATATTTAATTATATTAAATATCTTTTAATTATAGTATCTTTATAATGTGTTGGGTATATATCTCTACCAATGACTTCTTATCTATTAGAGTCCAATTACATTTTTGATTGTCTATTATTCTATTTATCTCACAATCGGTGTCTTCTTTAAAATTTTTACATTTTTTAAGACAATAATTAATTATGTTAATTTTAATGATAAAACGATTCTTATTTATTAAAATAATTTTATTAATGAAATAGTTATATAAATTAAATTACAATAAATAAGAGTAAATAAGTAAAAATAAATAATAAATACTATATTGAAATTTTATAAAAACATAAAAGAGAATACCTATTATAAGATTAGAGGAGTATATGTTATAACCTATTGATATAAATAATTTTATTTTTTATTAATATTATAAATTATTAAAATAATAATAATCAGTTATGATAATAGATTTTTTTTAATGATTTTTTTAATATATTTATTATCATTATTAATTACTTTATTCAAAATTTTCTCTCAAATGTTAAGGATTATCAATTGTTTTCTTCTAGATTTTTTTACACCACTCGATATTTATTAAGTTTCAGATTTTTTTCTACATTTTATTTACTATTTCATTACTATAATTATTTTCTGATAAGTACTGTGTGTTTGACTAAGGTTAAATGTTAATGAAAGTATTTTTGTACTGTTTTCCAGATGTAAAATTCTTATCCTTTGTATTTTGTTAAATATTGTATTATTTAGATTTAGTTTTTTCTTCCAAAAAACGTTTGAAGAAAATGAAGATGAAAAAAACGGTTTTGTACTCACATGTACTCTTTAAATCTTTGGTTGAACTTTATCTTTCACTAGAGATTAAAGTTTATTTTGAAACATCATCATTCTATTTAGAAAATTTTTTTGAGTGTTTTTTTTTTATAAAAGGGAAGAAAATCTTCAAATTCAAAGGAAGAGATTTTAACAAAAAAAAAATGAGATTCTAATTTAAGATAAAAAAATTTCAGATTCAAAGAGAAGAGATTTTAACCAAAAAGAAAAAAAATATTAGATGTGAAAATATTTTTTTTTTAGAAATAACAGTTTTGGAAAGAAGAGTTTTACTTTTGAAAATTTCTCTTTCTACCTTATAATTTAGAGAAATATCTTATGTATTTTCTAAAATATTTCTGAAAATTAGAAATATATTTTTGGTATGCATCTTTTTCTATTTAATATTGTCTAAAAGTCAGAAATATATTTTCGAAGTGAACCGAATATGTATTTTCGATTTCTGAGACAAAATCAAAAAGACTTATGCTGATAATGAGTCTTTTTGCGCGTTGTTGCATATTGAATACAAAGAAGTACACAACAATGCATACTACAAATACATATAGAACAAAAACATATATAAATAGATATCAATAAACAATACAAAAGGTGCCAGTAGTCAATATAAGGGATAACCCAAAATATTATCCAAATACAATTAGAAAAACGATAACCAAAATACATATACAACATCGAAGACTATTGAGTATGGCGGACTCAGAGTCGGCGTGTCACCATCCTAGTGTTCCTCTGCTGCCTCCTGTACTACAGAGCCCCACCGAGCCTCCACCATGATGGCATCTAGAACACCTCTAACATCGAAGCCACCAGAAAACAAACCTTCATCAATATCCGCCTGCGTAATGTTTATGATACAACGACACCTAGGCAACACATCAGTGACATGATCGGCCTATGCCTGCTCCTCCTCTAGAATCTTCTGATGAGCTGGCCTCGGAGGGTTTCTTGGAGCATCCTGTACCAGGTATGGATGGGACATCCTGAAGAACCATATGATATAACCGTCCACATAGCTCCAATCGTCTGGAGAATGGTACCTCAGGACTCATCTGGAACAAGATGATTCTCATAATCATCAAATAAGACATCCAAATTGTAGCGGTAGAAATGTTGAGACTAAGCCATTGAATTGACTTGACTCGTACAAATCAAAATAAAAATCGTCACTGCGCTTTATTGTTTCCAGAGGAATGGGAAAAGAGCGAATAACCCAAAAAAGGGGAGAGAATCTAAGTACGGGGGTTGGTTATGCAAAGGGAAAATATTAACATCCTAAACATCTACAGTACTCCGCATGAACCTCTTTGAAAATTTGTGTATTTTGGCTATAAATGTTGTACACAAAAAAACATATTGTGGGGATGCGAAGAGAAATATTTTTACAATTTTTGTACCCGCCGCGGTTGTGAACCTTTAGTGCCTACAAACTACCTTCCGTGCAATAGGGGATCAGGGTACTCGTAGTTCACCTTTTAAAAATTTAAAACACAAGTGTGTTGGTTAATTTTAAGAGACGAGACACCATCGTCTTATCCGAGTGGAAAAACGTACTTACTACCCATGATTATGAGAAAGGAGAATTTGCATAATCTCAAAGTGGAGGATATGACTTGGATTTTAAAATCAACAAAGCCTCGCTCAACACCCAAGTGGAAAACATCTCATTTCGCTACATATCATAGAAGTATAGTAGCTCGCATCACTACAACGGTCGACAAGAGTCTAATCTTTTGACAAAAGTTTAAAGTAAAAAGACAAAATGGAAAAAATGATTTGAATGATATTGATTGACTTTTAGTCTTCTCACAAAAAATGTCAAAGTATGGTTAAGTTGTTTAAAGTTTGATTAAGAAAATATTTTGAAAATGCATGGACCTAAGTCCAAGTTTATTGTGGAAGTGATTCAAGTTTAAAAAACAAGAATAGTTTTAAAAAGGAGAGAGAAGATTTTCGAAATTAAAGAAGGTGGGAGGAGATGAAAGGCCACCCTAAAGCATAAGGTAAAAGTTAGGAAAAAGAACCATCTAACCAACAAGAAGCCAACATTTGACATAATGAGTCAATGTAGAATTCACATCTTTTGGATTGAAACCAAACAAGCAAGGATGATAAACCTCTTGAGAATAGAAAACTTCAGATGCATTAAGTCTTCTAAAAAATTGGGCAGAGTAACAGCTGTATACAGATAAATCCCCAATTCCAGACAAAGCATATAATCAGAATAACCTACACACAAAGAGACAAACAACCCAATGTCTTGGGGTAAACCCCAAGAACTTCAGACAAAATAACAGTAGAAGTCACAAGGCAGGTCAAGGTCTATAATCCTAAGTCTAAGAAGTCCATAACTCTAAAATGCCAAGGATAGTAACCAAATAGTCTAAGTAACACTAAAGTTTTTTATGATTCAAGTTGATTATTAGGTATCTTCAAAAAGAAAATAAAAAGCTCAAGTGAGCGAAATAAAAATGACATAAAGATAAATGCTCAAGTGAGCAAATATAAAAATAACATGAAATGAAAATGCTAAAATAAATGTGCTTAAAGTAAAAGCATAATGTAAAAGCATAAAATAAAGTCAATTGTTAGAAATTAGAGGTTAGTTGAATGACCATCTTGAAATTTGTATTTTAACACTCATTAGAAGATTGATAAAATCAAAGCCTCTCAACAACAAGTTATATTTACTTTTTGTCAAGTATATTATTCATTTCAAAATCTCAAGGCAACAATAAATGATCAATGATGTTTAAATGATCCACTTAGTTCCAAAATTTATGAAAATTTATTGGAGGATTGGTAAGACCAAAGCCTTCTAACAATGAACCTCAAGATTATTGGATCAAAGGTTTCAAATTAAACATGCTTGGGCTTGCAAACATAGGTTTGGACCACAAATGATTATTTCTCGAATCGGGACAAAATTTAACGCTATGTTAAGCAATCGTAAATGGACTTATATAGAAGTCACACCTATTTTGAGGCCGGTCAATAGCAATTTATGTGCCATATATTTGGAGTGATGATTTGTAGATCATCTTCTAACAACATGTAACACAAAGAGAACATGATGAGATGAAGAGGGAGGAGATACATTTGAATCATAAACCTTGATCAAAACTATCATTAAAATCATCCATCCATTTTGGTGGAGTTGAACTCAACACCTAAGATCCAATGATATTA